TGAATCCACAAACCCTATTTAATTTAACTGGCAAACAAATAACAATCCAAAGAGAATTCCCAATAAAAAGAGGGAATTTTAATACAAATCGCAGAAATTAATGAACTGGGCATCAGTATTTTTACCCATCCAATTCAATTCACCGAATATATTACGCAATCAATTCACCGTACCTGCAGCAAACGAACAAAGCTTAGCAATTGAGGATAAACACTTCGATTTGTATTACTAACACGAAGTTGTGAGCAGGGACGAGTGGGGTTTTGGGGTTGTAAATAAGAGAATTTGATTCAAATGTTTCCTCTTTTTATGGTCGAAAGGGAAAGGTTAAGCTGACGTGGCGAAACACCCATTACATTACATGCCCTTCTTCGTGCTCTTCTCTCGGGTAATTCCACTCTCCTGCAATTACCAATTAGTTACTCTTTTATTTCACCTTTTGTATATTCTTTAATTTTGTTGTCTCAACTACAGTTCAGAGAATCAGAGTTGGTGTTCATAGTAGCTTACCAGTTGTAATTCCCCCCCTTTTTTTTATTTTTATTATGTAGCACTTCTAATTTTTTATTATGATTTTATCAAATCAAATTTCTATTGAGCGACTTTCAATTTTAAACGGTAGTTCATGGCATTTTTCCTTCCTCCTTAGTCAAAATAATCAAATATTTTGTCAAATTATGCGCATGATTAGCTTGGACATTTCCAACCGAATGATAATTTTACTACATATAAAAAATAGAATGAATTAATGACTATATGACCTATATACTATATCTATCATTATATAAAAAGAATAACTTTTTTATAATTTTAGAAATGTTTCCCCGCCAAATATATTAAATGTATCCTATATATAGTAATTGTTGGACAATATTGATAAGGCAACAAAATCGGCCGATTAATTGTGTTAGAATCTGTTTTCTTTTTTTTCTATTTTTTGGGTATTGAAAATCGTGTTATAAAATCTCATAGCATAAATCTAGAATTTATCTCTTATCTGTTACAAAATCCTATTGCATACGTCTTTAAAAAATCTCATCTCTTATCTATAAAGATTTAAAAAAATAAAATAAAATAAAAACCAATTCATAAGTACTACTAAAAATCGATTATCTACTTTAAAAAGCTAATTTTCATCGGTCTAATTACTAATATGTTTACAATACATCCTCGATAACAACGTAAAAAATGTAATAATAATGGTGTGTAATCAAATTTTTTAGATGGAAGTAACGCCATAAATTCGGTATCTGACATGCCTTATAATATTTTAGATATTTTAAACAAATTGTTTAGACATTTTTTTTTCATATTCGTCTATATATACATATATATATATATATACGTAATTGATGTTAAATTTAAATATTTGTAGACATGTTTTCTTTACAAAATAGTATAGATTTTTTTTTTTTACACAATGTTAAATTCAAATTTTTTTAGATATGTTTTCCTTCTAAAATTGTTTAGAAAAGTTGTAGGTGGCTTCATATCTTTCAAAAATAATATAGAAAATTTTGAATACTTTTACATATACTAATATAATATTTTAGGTGTTTTTAATATTAAACATACAAATTTTATATTCTCTTATACAAAATAATGTAAATTTCATATTCTTTTATACAAAATAGTTTTACATTGTTTGACCCGAATCTTTAATTTATAATTATTAAGTATTGTTTATCCTAGTCTTTAATTTATAATTATTTTTTTTTCTCTTTTTAAATAGGATCAATAGTAGTTTCCACTTCCGCTATTGAGTGACTCAAACTCGAGGTCTATTTATAATATTGTTAATTTAATTTTGTTCTCGTGCATCGCACGGGGTACACACTAGTACTATATAGAAAGTAGAAACTGGTATTCTGATAAGAAGTGTTCATTGCACATACGTACTATTACAATATACATAGAAATTGGTATTCTGACAAGAAGTGTTCATTGCACATACGTACTATTATAATATACATGTACTTTTTTTTCACATTATCCCATCGAAAACTTCTTATTCGCCTCAATAATCACGAAACTATATGCGATATAAAAGCATATTCAAATGAACCGCATAGTTAACAATTATACGAGATTTTGTCGTATATATATTAACGCATATCCAAATCCACCGCATCATTTTTGTTATGCATATTTTTTCCGCCTATATAATTATTGCATATCCAAATTGATAGCCGCATATTTTACGATTATGCGACAAGTTTTCGCATAATTTATGTCTCGCATATTCAAATCGGACGCATAGTTAACAAGTATGTGAAACACTTACGCATATTATGTAATCGCGAATTCAAATCCAACGCATATTTTATGTTATGCGACATATTTTTGCATAGTTTACGACGCATATTTAAATCCATTGCATAATTTACTATATGCAAGGAGTTTTTATATATTCAAGAATCGAATATCCAAATCCAATGTCGAATATTTTATTTATGCGACATGTTTTCGCATAGTTTATGATTCGCATATCAAAATTCACCATATAATTTACCATATGCGCATGCGAGAAGTTTTCGTATATATTCAAGAATTAAATATCCAAATCCAGCGTCGCATATTTTATGTTGTGCGATATTTTTTCGCATAGTTTATGTTTCACATATCCAATTCCACTGCATAATTTACCATAGGCGAGAAGTTTTTGTATATTTCAAGAATCAAATATCCAAATTGAACGTTGCATATTTATATTAAACGACATGTTTACGCATGGCTTACGTCTCGCATATCTATATCCACCGTTTAATTTATCATATGCTTTAACGTTTTGCATATTCAATAATCACATATGCAAATCAAACGTAGCATATTTTATGTTGTGCGACATTTTTCGCATCGTTTATGTTTCGCATATTCAAATCTACCGCTTAAGTTACCATATGCGATAATATTTTGCATATTCAGGAATCGCATATCCAAATCAAACCTCTCATATTTAATGATTATGTGACAAATACCCACATAGTTTACTACTCGCATATCCAAATCTATAACGCTGTATAATTAACGATTATGCGTAATATGTTCGCATATTTAAATCCAAATCGAAAGCCGTATAATTTAGTACTCTCCGCCATTTTATTCGAATAGTTGATGCACCGCATTTATTGTCTGATTTTTCACGCAAAAAAACTTAGACAAATGACATGTATATATACCACCATTATTACAACTCATTAATTGCTAAACTTTCGCTTCTCGAAACCAAAAACAAATAAAAAAACACTAGCAAGAGTAAAATCCTTTATATTCTGATGAAAAAAAAAAAAAAAAAAGAAAGAAAAAGAAAAACTAAGCACATTTACGGAAAAGAATGGATAGGATTTCACGCAAAAAGCAGATCGCGATCCGGTTCCGTGTCATGGAATAGACCGAGGGTGAAGAAGATGCTTGCTACCCAGTGTTTTTCAAGAAGTGTCGTGAGAAGGCAAACATATACTGAGGCGCCTTCACCATTTCTGTCTTCCTTTGGCGCCTTCTTGCAGGATTCCGATTGATTTTGTGTTGCATGCGAGGGGGGTTTCTTTCTCCTTGCAATGTTACTGTTGTACCGAGACCAGTGATTTCAAGACTAAGATTTTTTCTCATTTTTTTTTTTCAGAGAGCGAGGTTGCGAGGAGAGTGTGCAAGCATTTTGCCATCTATACTCATATACCTCTTCCCACTATAGACAGATTCTTTGAGCTCCTGAGTTTTTTCTCACATCGCACACACTTTAGATACGTGGGCTTCCTCATTCCTTGTCTGGTCCTGTGGTTCACCTGGAAAGAGATGAATAGTGCGAAGCATATGGATATTACTTTTATGTGCTCTCACATTGTTTTGTAGGTTGATCGACATCTCTCCTTCATCACAGCTCTGGGAAGACTCACGCCTAGAGACTGGACAGGTTGCACGCTGCCCCACCGTTTCATGTCGCCTCCACTGCCGCATGTACAGCATCCACGATCTAGAGCCGTTGTATGGCTGAGACCCGACTCTCCTTGGGTCAAGCTGAACACTGATGGATCATTTGATTGATTCACTGGAGCTGCCGAAAATGGGGGCCTGATTAGGGACCACACCAGAGCTCTCATTAGTCTTCCATGCCCCACTTCGGGCATCCTCGAGCTATGACGCGGAGATTCAGGCGCTTCAGATCGGTCTACAGATTGCAGCCTCTATCTCTACTCACATTTGGATTGAGTTGGATATTACTGTTGTCGCCACCTTCTTAACCTCGGGCAACCAGGGCTCGTGGCAGATTCAGCATCCGCTCATGCGCATCAGATCCACACTTCAGTCTGTTCGTCACAGGATCTCACACATCTTCCGCGAGGAGAACCGACGCGCTGGCTTCCTAGCCAGTCTCGGTGCCTCCACTCTCCAGAGGCGCACTTTTGGCCCGGGGACGACGCCCCTCTTCGCCTCCGCACCCTTGTGCAGATGGATCAGGACGACTACCCCCCATTCAAATTCCAGTAGCCTTTTAGTATTTTGTGTATTTTTTGTGCTTCAGGCCATTTCGTGGTTCAGACTGTTTGTCTGGGTACTTTCCTGCCCAGGTTCAGACTCTCGTTTTGAGTGGTTATTCTTTCCGTTTTCTGTGTTTGCTTGCACATGTGTGTAGACCTTTGATTTCTTCGGCCCATTAAGGATTTTAATATATACAGGTTGAGGATCTGACCTTAATCCTTCACCCTTTAGTGTGGTTCTTTTAACCAATAAAAGAAAAAAAAAAAAAATGTGTTCAAAAGCAACTTGAAAGTTTTGTAAAGTTGATACCGTGGATTGTTAAAGAAATAGTTCATATTGTAATTTGACGAATTAAAAATAAAAATAAAATAATTTAGGGGACAAAATGTTATTTTCGGCCTCCTAATTAGCATGTGAAAAGGTGTTGCACCACTATCTTCGTACTGTCCAATTAAAGCATCTTCAATGCATTGGGTCTAGTCTTGCCTATGTGGCAAGTAAATAAACTCAAGTCTTAGATGACATGGATAAAAATATGTAAAATTAATAAAATCCACTTCAATTCAAAGAGACTAGGTCTCTACTTGGGTCTAAAATAGACTTAAAGGGAGACCGAGTCTCTTTTTCTAGCTGCCACATCAGCAGGACATAATCTATTTTTATTTGCATTGAAGAATATATTTTTTTAGACTGTATCTATTTTTTATGTCGCATGTAATTTTTTGAGATTGAACCCAAGACATTATGGATATGTATACATCATCGCAAAGTCTGTCTTTATCTAATACCTTGGGAGGCAAAAAAAATAATTAAAATGTTATTTTTAAAGTAGGGGCAAAAATTTCTCTTTACATGCTCTATTTACATCAGAATTCAATTCCAACAAAGCATACAAGTTGGATTTCCATCTTCTAGGTAAAATGTCCCAAAAAAAGATATTTATGCTTAGCAACCAATAAAAACTGTCGCCTTTTATTTTTCAGCAAATATCCTTTTAACTGGTTCGTAGGAGTAAAACTAAATG